TGTGTGTGTGTGTGTGTGTGTGTGTGTGTGTGTGTGTGTGTGTGTGTTGCTATTTGGCAATCAGAAAGTCTTTGTTAACACACAAGTGCACTCCCCCTTATGATAAATGCATGTCTTTGTAACACTCCATCAGTGTCCAGTAGCTGTCTGATTGACTTTGTTATTCATGAGCACAATGTGCGTAGAGAAAGCGACTCATGATGGAACCGGGTGGTGTCATGACCCCTGGGCTCATAAAATGCAATTGAATTGGCAAAGTTGATGGCTGTCACAAAATATGGCTCTTATATTAAGTGAGTTTAAGATGTTAAGATGCAGGGTTTGAGAGAAGCACATCCTCAGCAGTAGCTGCTGGATCTATCAGCTCTTCCAGGCCCTTCCCGTCTACAAACACACGTTTCATTATGCACATACCTGTAGACAGTGGGCAGAAAAAAACCTCCAGTCACTCCTTCATTTTTGTCAACCAAAGAATCTTGTGTCGATCACACTGCTTTTTCTTCCCATTTTAATTTAACGTTAACATAGAAAGAGGAAGCTGCAGCTGTGTGTCAGCCGCTGTGCTGGTGATGTGGTGACTACTCGCTGTGCTAGTTGGTGAACTACTGCAGCTGGCTAGCTAACCGCTAACATTAGCTAGCCAGCTGGCAACAATAGTACCAAGCGTCTTCTGGTTCATTCCCCCTTTTCCATTTGTTCCCAGAATTGTTGTTACTTTTTTTGTTCTTTGTCCGTTTGGGGGCAGTGTAAATCTAGTTCCACAGTAACGACATTGAGTAATATCATCTGGATGGTGCAAACAGTTGCTTGTAGAGCTGAGGGAACAGCGGAGTTTGTTCATATTCTCTGTGAAGGATGTCGCTCTCAGTGACGAACCCACACAGTCTGCTGATCCCCCGTTAGATGGGTCTTTAACAAACCTTTCCTTCCAGTCTACCGTGAATTCAAATTCAAATGCTTTCCCCAAAGCGAGTCCATTTCTAGACCCAAATGAAGATGGCACTGTGCATGAAGGCACCGGTCGTCTTCAGTTGTTAGCCGTCCTTGTTAGCCTTAGTCTTAAATTTGTAGTTTCATGTATGTATCTCATTCCACAAAAAAAAGAAAGTAGTACTACCAGATGTTTGTAAAATGTTTACTACAACATACATTAGCTAGCTAGCTGACTTACATGAGCTAATGCTAGAGACAGACTGCCCACCTCTCCAACAAGTATAATTAGAAACCAACTACACCTCACAACTGGTGCTTTTCAGAGTCCTCGGGCTCCTTTCACCTTTTAAATGCTTGGCTTGGTTTGTCAAATCTCCACCGGTAAAGCATGGTGCTTTATTCTAAGAGCAGGCACAATGAAACCTGGATGGGTCTATGTGGGGTTAGGAGGGGGCTGGGAGCACTGTGGTCCTGTAGTGACACCCTCACTGAAACAGTCGTTCACAGTTTGAGCCAAACACACTTTCACGTCTTTGTTCCCACTCGGTCTGTAACGTCCCCACCCACACTGCTGTCCTCATCCCGTCCTCCTGTCCCGACCTCCTCTCCATCGCTCCCCTCCTCTTCTCATCTGCTCGTTGAATATGAACTGATGCTTGACAATGATAACCAGAAGAAAATAGTTTTATTTCTATAAGTTCACGCTATCCGTGAGAATACATGTGACGTGTATAGTTTAATGGAGTGAAAATATAAAGTTGGAGATCAGTTCTGTGTCAATTTAATCAATACAAATAATATCATTGAAATTGCAATGTAGGTAATTGATGAAAGCTCATTTATGGATCTTTTAGAGGTACATGCCACCTCTCTAAATTTGTATTACACTGTGGAATAAACATGAAACTATAATATCTCATAAAATTGTTACCTTGCAATGTCACATTTCATCAAACTCATTTTTCAGAACACTTTGAGTATCATCACTATCTTTAAAGCAGCTATACCGTTAAACAGTTCTCTTGCTGATATTGTAGCACCATCTTAAAATCATCAGTGAAGAATTGGGGGGGGGGGGGGGGAATTCAGAGTTGCTGTAACCAACATGCCAATAATATCACATACATGTGTTCTATTCAAGTTCAAATTCAACCGAGCTCTACCTTGAAGTGATTTTAATCTAGATTGGTCCCAGCCTCTAAAATTTTGTTCTGCTTCCAACACGAAGCATGGGAGTCATTGAAGGGAGCTCAAATGGAGTACTGAGTTGGTCATCATTGAATCTGTCATGAAACGACTGGTCTGTGTAAAGGCAGCGAGATGAAGAAAGTTAGGAGGTAGCAGTTTGTGTTTGTGTGGTTAAAGGCAGAGCAGAGGGCCGTAAACACAGCTACAGAGCAGCATCACACTTTTATTTCATGACACTGCATGCTGCCCAGACGACCAGGAAATCATTTGCTTCTTTTTGTGTCAGAAGGGACTTTGACCTGTTGGATTATTTATTGTAGCTGTAGTTGGTGTCCGAGCCACATTGAGAATCTTTCACTGCTCTGTCACAGCTGGAGTTTCATCAGGATTAGTGCAGAAACGTGTCGCTGCAGTTTGGACAAGCAACCTTTCAGTGTTCTTATGACCGCCTCTGCTCTGTTAATGTGGCCTCCACAGGCCGCCTGGACATCTGGAACAGACCACCTTGGTAGTCATTAAAAGGACAATTGTGTAGTTAAGTTTTTATTATTATTTATAAGCTGGTTTTGAGTTTCCTGGTTTCAGCTGTCCGCCATCAACCCCAAATCCAGGAAACCACAGCTGTGGACGGAGGCGTGTCCACTTTTGTTTGCTCTTCTTCTGTTTGAAACCTGTCTGAGTGCTCATCTGCACTCGGTTATAAAGTTTATCTACCACGTCCGCAGTTCTCTGCAGCGTTCCTGTCAGTTATCATATCTGTTAGAAATGATGGGGAAACCCAAGGAAATCAAGTCTAGGTGGTTTTTATATTTCAGTGGCAACATCTCTGGTCCAAGTCCTCATAGATATTCCATTCAAAATGTTTGGCCCCACTTTCTGATCATAATGTTTGCCTCATATTTAGTGCTAAATGTGTGCATTGAGTATGTGCTGTATAGTATAGAATAATACAAATGTATTTCTAGCATTTCACAATTCCAGCTCAATGATGTTTTGACATTATGTATATGTCAGAAGCCTCATGGGGTCTTTCTTTTGTTGGCAATGACAACATGGACAAACCTCGTCCAACCATGTGACCAACTTTCTAAACCTGATGTTATTGGCCGACTCAGAAGTGTCCAGAAGAATGCTGGCCATAATTCCAGAGCCCCAGAATCATGATCTCCTTCTCTCACATGGTTTGATGATTTGGTTTAGTTGGTCCTGCCACTTCTGACTAATTTGTGTCCGAAATTTGAAAGCTCATCATTTGTTTGGTGACAGATAAATAATACAATTATATTAGTATGATATGTCGAGGTTTGCTCATATACTGGTAACAAAGAGAGAAACAGTCCGGATGCACTCGATCACAGGCCTGGACTGGTTTAGCATAGTAAAGCCTGTGATACATGTGTCAGTGTTGGGATGTCATTCTGTTAGGCTAAAGTACCCTCGGCTAGTCTGGGGAAAACACATAAAAAATACATCAGATCAACGACAGTAGTTTGCTTGTTTATATTACTAGCAGCAGCCTATGCTTTATAAAGCCTAATAAGCTGTAACTAAGGGCTTTAATCATGGTTAATAAATACTGTACTAATGCCTTATAGACTAGTTTATCGTTAAAGCGTCATAACTGGATTGTAGCAGTTCTTCATAAATCCATCACTAAGTTTGTGTGTAAAGTTTCTTCTCCAGTAACTGCCAGCCACTTAAAAAACAAATGATTTACTAAATCAGGTTGCACATTAAAACTTGTCTTGGCTAGTTAAGACCTTAGCGCTGTGTAAATTGGTTGTTAGGCAACACCTGTAGTAGTACTGTCCAATCAGGAGCTGCCGATTATGTAAACAGGGAGTCGCTGTAGCATCACAAGCTAGGACTTAACTTCTAAAACGATATCCCAAACTTAACTGCCAGTCCTTTGTTGACATGGATACATGCATATAGAAATGTGGTCCGCTCTAAAGTTAGCAGTATTCATGCAGAATGAGTCGGAAATATTTGATCATGCTAAACTAGTTGATGTCATTTAGTATAACATCTTGTAATATGGGGTATGTTACATTCTATTTGTGAAATATAATTGAAACTCTCCACAGTTCACATCATTATTGAGCAGCATTTCGATCCGGTGTCGGGTCAGACGTGTCGTCCAAATCCCATTCACCCTTTATGCCGTCATCTAAACCGCTCGTATGTTAGCAAGCTAACGTTACTTTTGTCAGTTAACTAAGCAGCAGTCAGTGGCAACATCTGTAATATTTCATCTTTACATAAGAACTAGTTTGTGTGGCTAACCTGTCTTAATTTAGCGATGTGTAAATCTCCACTTGGTAAACCAACCCAGTCTCACGGCAGTTTGTAAAATTGTCATGAATTCTAAACTATTGATTTGTATACATGGACATGAATTTAACTTTTTTTTTTTGTGTTGCTCAGCACAACTTCGGTTTAGGAAAAACATCATGGTTGGGCTTAAAATAAGTACGTTAAACTTAAGTTAAAGTTAAGTTTAAGAAAAGACGCCACAAAAGGGTCACAACAACACTTTGGGACACAAACACCGGTCTTGAACAAGTCGCTGGTCGTGTCCATTTCCCGTATTTCTGATGTCTTCTTAGCTTCAGGATCAATGCTCTTTGATCTCTAACATTCTGGACCAAAAAAAAACATGAAGAAGAAGAATCCCATGCACAAGTATGAATGGATTAGCAACATTCATAATAGGTCAATTTGTGGACCCAAATATGTTCTTATTAATATCTTATAACTGATGACATTAGTAAATGATTAACACGAATAAGACGTGTGAGTCCTTTATGGAGGGGGCCTTATTAGACCATGTCCACCTACCACAAACACGTGATATCTATCA